CGCAGAAAACGTTGGGTGCCGATGGAAGTAGACGTTGTGAACCTGAATGCGAGGTTTCCACATTCAGGGCACATGAACAGACACATCAGCCGCAGACAGAAAGCTATAGAAAGTGAATCGTGCGGACAACAGACTACTGAAACGTCAACAGTCAACAAAAGGCCGTAATACACAACTCCCAAAAAGTCAAAATCGCGTTGAACCAGAAGATTAGCATGGCCCCTGCGCAAGGATGACACGCATAAATCCAGAAAAAAGGCTAGGATGCGAGGGTAGGGGGCTTTAGGGGGCTTTGTATTCCAGTTTTTTGGAGTTTCTTTGAGGTTATATTTTATAAATGAACAAAACCACAACGGCGTGGCTTTGCAGAAAAATGAAGAACGGATGGATTCTCCCACGATTATGCATCTCCGAAGTCGCACTGTGTCCCACGTGATAGAAATCTCAATGTTGAGCTAGCTCAACCGTGCAAGTGGGACATGGCCCCGGGGGCCAAGTCCCACTAGCAGCGTTGAGCTACCTCAACGCCTGAATCTGGACGTGTTTGTGGAGACGTGCAGTTCAGGAAACTCAACACCATTTCTGCACATCTCCGCAAAAGCGTCCAGATTCAGGCGTTGAGGTGGCTCAACGCTGCTAGTGGGACTTGGCCCCCGTGTCAGCACCAAACCCGCACCACTTCGGAGGCCGCCAACTTTTTCTTTTTCAACGGCGAGCCTGGCCGCGCGGCGCCTCCGAGTTTTGCTTGTGGCCACAAAAACTTTCTGCAAGGCTGGGGCCGTGTGCTAGCGGTTTAAAATTGGAACGATACAGAGAAGATTAGCATGGCCCCCGCGCAAGGATGACCCGCATAAATGAAGAAATGGTCCAAAACAAAAATAAAATAAAATAAAAATTCTGGATATAAAAAAAAGGAAAACAAATTCTGTGTCTGTGTAACGGGAAGTAGTTGTGAAAGCAGGGCGCCAGCCGCGAAATCGGCAGCATCGGCAATCAAGGAGGCTCCACATTGATTGCGACCCTTTGTCGTCAGTTCCCTGTCAATGGCAATGGCGATGGCGCGCGGGCTCTTATCTTCAATGGCCCCTGGCACGACGGCAATCGCCCCCTCGTGTAGAGCGGTAAGGTTAGTCCACGCGGCGATGGGGGCGGCTATGGAGGAGGGTGATGCAGTTCACAACATGTTCGGAGACAGAGTAATAAGCAGCTGGTACATGCAGTCGGGGAAGAAGAAGAAGCCGGACGACCTTGCCAGTTGCAGAGTGTCAGCCATAGCCGCCGCCATCGCCAGCGTGCACAAAGCACATGGACCTTGCTCCTGTAGGGGAAGAAGAAGGCATGGACCTGTCCACTGGCCCCAGGAGCGTTTCCCACGAGCACGTTCTGTGGCTTACGGAACGTCTCCTTCACTTACGGAACAGAGTGGGAATCGGTACGGCAGCGGCAGTCGAGACAGACGACCATCGTCATCACCATTGTCGCGACCACCGGGATCGCACGGCCACGTGGCGGTCTCGAATAACGGGATCGCACCGGGATCCGCGTGTCGGGTTGCCAGAGCGAACCATGCGAGAGGTCGCAGCCGCGCATCACCATGGTCGCGGCCGCTGGGATCGCACGGCCACGTGGCAGTCTCGGACAACGGGATCGCATCGGGATCCGCATGTCGGGTTGCCAGAGCGAACCATGTGAGAGGTCGCAGCCGCGCATCACCATGGTCGSGGCCGCTGGGATCGCACGGCCACGTGGCAGTCTCGGATAACGGGATCGCATCGGGGTCCGCGAGTCGGGTTGCCAGAGCGAGCCATGTGAGAGGTCGCAGCCGTGCGTGCGATATGGTGGTGACTAGGTGCTATGAATGGACGCCTGGCGGCGCAGGAAGCAGGTTGTCTTTGCTGAGCTGGCAGCAGCAGATTCTGGGTACTGCCAATCAAAGCCGGGAGGGGCAGAGATGGCTGATTTCAGAGGGGGCGCCCAAGCTCTCCCTCTCCCTTTCCCTCTCCCATGCTTCGCGCTGCGAGCGACCGGAGCGGCGGCAACAACAACAGGGCGTGATGGAAACGACAACGACAGAGACGCCAAATTGGCGGGAAAAGGCTCGTCCGCCGCCACGTCAGCAGCAGCAGCAGCAGCAGCAGCAGCAGCGACGTGGCCGTCGTCAGAGTGATCAGACTGCTCCCTCCGACACCGTGCTGCGAAGGCGGGAGAATTGGGCCTGTGTGAAGGGTTGTGGCGCCTGTTGCTTTTTGGACAAGGGCCCCCACGCGCCCCCCATTGAGGAGGTTTTGCGAGATCCAAAAGACGTAGAGATATTCCGTAGTATGGTTGGAGTCGATGGATGGTGTGTGCATTTCGACAAGCACTCCAAGAAATGTAGGGTCTACGATGAACGGCCACGATTCTGCCGCGTGGAACCGGAGGTCTTCAAAGATTTGTATGATGTGGATGAAGACGAGTTGGACGAAGTCGCCTGCACCTTCTGCCTGGACACCATTCGGGATGTCTATGGCGGCAGATCTGATCAAATGAAGGCCTTTAAAAGAACTATACGAAAATTAACCCCTTCTTGACTTCTCTTCCTACCTCCCTACCTCCCTACCTCCCTACCCACCGCCCGTCTCTCTGGAATGCTTTTACAACCCCTCACCCTCTTCTTCTTCTCCTTCTCCTTTCTTCTTCTTCTTCGTCTCGTGTATCTCCGCCGCCGCCGCCGCCTCCTCCTCCTTCTTCGTCTCGTATGTCTCCGCTTTCTCCTCCGCCTCCTCGTCCTTCTCCTCCTTCTTCTTCCTCTTCTTCCTCTTCTTCTTCGTCTCGTCCTCCTCCTCTTCTTCCCTCTCCTCTGTTTTCCCCATAGTCTTCTCCTCCTCCTCCTCTTCTGCCTCTTCTTCTCCCCATCCTCCTCCTCCTCTTCCCTCGCCAATGCGCTTGGATGGCTTCGTCACTGGAAGAGTCCCGTTGGACTCTCCTTTCTGCATACCTTAGCATCGAACTTCGTCTTCCTTCTCCTCTCTTTTCCCCATAGTCTCCTCCTCCTCCTCCTGCGCCGCCGCCGCCGCCGCCTCTTCTTCTTCCCATCCTCCTCCTCCTCTTCGCTCGCCAATGCGCTTGGATGGCTTCGTCACTGGGAGAGTCCGGTCTGACTCTCCACATTCTGCAGACATTAGCATCGAGGTTGCCTTCGTCGCTTGCCCCTTTGCACGCATGCACGCACGCATGCATGCAGGCTGTCTTAGTGCATTCTAACACTACCTTTTTCCCCCGAATACAACGTACGGTCATTATAGCTGTTTTTGACGCATCTTTCCGTCTTGATACAGCTATAATGACCGTGCGTTGTATTCGGGGGAAGAAGATAGCGTCTTCCCCTTCTTCCCCCGAACAGAACGCAACCCCATACTGAATGTATACAAGCTATCTTTCCATCCCGATGCAGTCATAATGACGGTGCATTGTGTTCGGCGGAAGACGGTAGCATTTCTGCCAGAGGCATTTGACTGCGCACTGATCTGTTTCACAAAGTGCTTGTGTGGTGAGTCTGCACTCACTAATCTGGCTACCTAGCTGGCTGTTGGTTCTGCCCTATTTCCCCCCCCCTCCCCCAATCTGTGATTTATTATGTGTTTCATTTTCCTGCGAAGACGGAACCTCTTCTCAGTAGGCAGTAGGAGCTTGTAATGTTCTCAGAGGACTGCGCACTGAGGGGGGATGTTGGGATTGTGGGTGATTGTGGGCTTTGAACCCGCTACCTGCTCAACAGATGATACAGTTGTTTTGTTCTCCTGTACTGCTTTGGAGCAGTTGATTTTGAACCTGGGCCCTTCGTGTGCAGTCTGTCTGCCTAGGATACTGGTAGGGCCTTGCATGGCTGGTAAACGGCAAAGGGCAAATGAAGCACACCACACGACATGCATATGCACACCATATGATCGTGATCACACATAGATAAGTTTCGCAAAACCCAAAAAAGGATGTCAAATGGACAAATTCACATCATGTACGTCCCATCCTATGTTGTTGCCTCGTACCGTCAAACCCAAGAACCGCCATTCAATCTGCGGTCGCCGCCAGCCGAGGCTGAGGGCAACATCGAAGTAGTCGACAGTTAACATGGAGCTAGTCTACAGTTAACGTGGACCGCTAACTGAACACTACTACAGTGAGTCGGCCGAAAGAGAGGTGGGATCAGGAGAAACGAAGGACTAAACACTACAGCAAGACTGCAAAATGTCCAGGAGCTAGCTCAATGTTCACTACGTCAGGATGTAAAATGTCTGAGCAAACTGGCAGTCAATTGCCATACTGCACATCCTTTACAGGCATAATTATCCAGGACCTTCAGAAACAGGTCCACTGGAAAATCCTTCCGCTCAAAGGCCAGTTTCAACAGAATCACCTGGCCGGCCGGGGATATTCCGGTCAATGCGGTAAAGCCAGCCCGAAATAGCCGTGGCTTTTTGGCTTCTACTGGACCAGGACAAAAAAAATCTTGGCCAGGCCGTATAGCCAGGCCTAGTCCCCTCATCAGACTGTCTTGTTTCTAACTTTCTGGAAACATCCGGACAAAACGGTTGGTGGTCCCGAATTTCAAAGTGCACAGCCCAAAAACTCCCAAAATGCTCATAGTTTTACACTTGTCTTTTGGGAGGCAGACACTGTAGACCCAGGCGAGTAGCAGCTCCTCAAAAGTGACGACTTGGTGCAAAACCCTCATCCACATTTCAATCATGTTAACTTTCCTCCTTGGTGTGACTTTGTGTGTGTGTGTGGTGTGTGTGTGTGTGTGTGTGTGTGTGTGTGTGTG